AAAGGGACAAGGACACTTGGAGAGGGAGCCCTGATTTCCTCGCTGGAGGCTATGCCTCACAACCTGATCACCTGTAATACCACTACAGAGGTCAGGATGTCAACCTGGGATTTCATAGAGATGTGGACATTCTGGATGTGGCAGCAGAGCATCATGGGATACCTCAACAAATGTATAACACAGTTAACATCGTCAGTATTAATGACAGTGGACAGTTTCCCCAGTTTCCCATGTTGTGAATGTTAATTATACATTTTAATTAGTTTTCTCACTTTAAAACTGGTAAATGGTGAAAGTGTATTGCAGAAATCAGCACAGTTGGAATTGTTTCAATTATTTTATTGTTGTACTCAAATTCTGAAGTGAAATGGCCTAACAAAAACAAAACTAAAAGTCTTCCCATAATGATATTTAATGTAACACTACAACAGTAGATCTTAGAGGTTTGTTATGTTTGTTCCATCATTTTATTTCTCTTCACGCTCAGTTTTATCTGATTTAAAGAGGTTAATACTATAGTGTATTTCTTCCCATCCCCCCACCCATAGGTAACTTCTACATTTATTTTATACCAAAAAATTAGTATCTCATTGCTTCATCGACTCCACAAATGTTTTTGTTTCCTGTATTCATTTACTATGTTGTTTATTTAATTCCTTTAAAATATTTGTAAAGCCTCATGTATATTATTTTCATCCCCCTCTTTGTGCTAAGACAGTAATATCAGTTAGAAACTTTTAAGTGCTGTGATCGCAGAACAGCACAGAGAATTTTATGTGCGTTATTAAGCCATTCTTCAAAGCAACCTTTTGTGGTATAGTGTTATTACCTCATTTTCATCAATAACTGTTCAACCCAAAGCCATACCTGTAGTAATGAATACATCCAGGCCTGCTTCTAGTTTGACTACAGACCTCATGTTCTTCACTGTTTTTGTAGCACCATGATGATCTTTGGTACATTTTACTGTACAGATGCTTCTCAATTTAACATGGTTATAAAGCAAGCGTAGGCTGAATGTATTGTTAGTTTGAAAATGCACTGAGCAGATCTAAGCTGCTAAATACTGAAGCTCAGAGACACAGAATAGTGGTGGGGGCTTCCCCTGGTAGCCAGAGGGCAGTGTGGCAGCTGCATTCCCACTGCCTCATTCCCACCTGCCCAGGAAAAAGATCATCCTTTAACGTCTGAAGGGTCTCTCCTGATTATGTACTGCTTTCTCACTCTTATGAAGTAGAACTGTTGCTGAACTATGAAAAGTCAGGGCTCATATGTGTTGTTTTCTAAAGGATCTATCCCATCTGCCCTGAGTGAGGGCATTGGCTCAATGAGAACCTTCATTCCTGGTTATTTCAGTTTAAAACCAGTAAACAAGGTAATATTATAGTCTCAGCTCCCCCATTGTTTACAAATAAAGGGAAAATATTTTCCAAGTATTTCTTTTTGTGAAATTACTCTTCCTGCCTTCATTTCATTTATCTATGAGCATGTTAGTGTTTTTCTTATCCACTTGTCTGATCTCTTGTTTAAGAATCTAAGTCATCATGTATCCATGGGCTGTGGTTTTGCTTCCCTGATCTGCTACCTTTGAGAATCTTTCCCCTGGAGGTATAATGGCCTTGCTTGCTGGGGGGAGGTTCTCTCTTACAGTGACACCCTATACATATATTGGTCACCTTTCAGAAAGCTCTGGCTAAAGTAATTTCATTCAAATCTACACCAGGTCTGGAAAGCTTATGTTATCATATTTTTATCTTCTGAAGGACATGTTGAAATATCCTGTTAAAACAGAGACCAACAGTGTTTGATTATAAGCCAGGAAGTGCTTACCTATTTTAAACTTGGATAATAATGATCTTGTAATAGCTTCATGCAGTTACTTACGGAGTTCCAGGTGCTAAAAACTGATGGGAATGCAAATGTACCCCACTTTGAACTGTAGTTCACAGAAATTAGATTGGTTGCTATTTCTAGCACATTTTGGTTTCTATTTCTGAATTATCTCCAAGAGTTGTAAGGCTTTTCAGCCTGCACTTATCTGAGAATTGATTGATTGAGGAAAAACTATGCCTTATACCACCTGGTGCTGAGATGTTACTGTAACAGCGTTCTCAGAGTTGATTCCAGAAAACTTGTTTGGGGGGTTGTTAATCCACTTCAGATGTTTCTAGAAAAGGGACTTCAGTTTGAATTTTCTTAGTCACATATTAATCCACAGATGCTCTGATCTTTTAAATTCTTAGAAAACATATTTTGTAGAAAGTTATTTTTAATTACATTCACTATTTATATGAATTGAAGTGAATATAATTATTCATTTATATTATAAATACGATTAGTTAGGATGGTAATATCACATGAGTCATGAAAAAAATTCTGTCCAGAGAATGAGATTCTATTCTATACTACTGATTATAATGTTACTGAGAGTAACAGCAACCGCTTTTTACCCAAAATGTTTGATGTGTAAGAATCTGTTCAAAGTGAAATATACATATTCTCTCACTGTATTTCCACAAACCTGTGCTATAAGATCCATTGTTATCACTACTCTACCGCTGTCACCCTAGACAAAGAAGAGTTCACTGAGTTACCCAGGGCAGTTTATTCAGGCTAAGACAAAGAAAATCTAATATCAATAAAATCTATAACAATGATTAAGAAAAAATCGGAGAAGAAGTGCTTGATTTTACATGTATCAGGATTTTTGAATGAATTTTATTGAAAGTGTTAAGTAGAATTCTAACGATAGGTAAGGTGATTTAGTTCTTTCTTAATGCTTTCTTCAGAACTAAAATGTCAATTTGATGTTACAGTGAATTGCATGTGAGTGTGTGAGTGTGTGTGTGTACTAATTGGTAAGACACAGGTCTCACTAATTTTTTTTAATTTGAGAGAACTGAAAAAATGTTCTGTTTTCTTTGGAATAATTAATGGGTCTCTTGAGTATGCAGGTCCAACAGAGTATTAGACAAATCCTTTTAGGGAATGGCCAGAGAGCAATGAGCACGCTCTCCAGCACAGTCCTGTATACGTTTGTAAACTATGCACACACTTTCATCTACAAGGATGGTTTGACTGCTTGAGCAGACATCGTCATCTTTTCTCACTAAAATCCAACTGAATACGCTCATTAACAATCAAACATTATTTATTATTTATTGAGTTGGAACTGTGCTGTTTGAAATGGACATATGTATGCGAAGTTTCTGTGTCAGATATCAGTAAATTGAGGTAATTGTTCTGTTAATAGCAGTTACAGTGAAACATTGGCCACTTAACAAGTGTCATTCATCGCATGCTTAAATTGTGACCGAAAGAAGAAAGATCAAGGAGTCATCCTCATTTCAAGAAACTAATAGTACAAGAAAGGAGGGTACAGTTCCTCGGTGGGGCCAGAGAGCTACTGCCTCGGCTCTGCAGGCAGTTCAGTCCCTGTCACGGCTGCTTCACTGAGCCACACTGGCACTCAAGAGTCTGAGCAAGAAGGAGGGGCCTGGCTGTGTTCCAATGAGATTGCATTTTGCAAACAAATGGTGGCTGGATTTATCCTGTGTGCTGTGGTTTTCCTAACCTTGATCTGAGTGCTGTGATAAGAATGAAGCAATAGGAAAATGAATAGGAGTATAGTAAATCTTAACAACATTAATGAAATAAGTGTAAATACAAAGAAATATAACATGCAAGAGGTCCAGAATATTCCACAGATGCTTAATGTAGTCTTTGAATATTTAATATTTTGATATACTGTTACTGCAACTTCCAGTATTTCTATGGGGAAAATAATTATCATAATTTTAAGAGTATATTTTAATAGATAGTCAAATTCAAAATAATTGTTCTAGTACCCATTTGTTTATTAATATTCCATTTGAGTGACAGCCAAATCTCAATTCATATTACTAAAAATTGAGACATTGTGAGTGTTACAAAAATATTTATGGAACAATGTTTTCTTTTGAAAAAGACCCATTTGAGTTTGACTTGGAAATATTGTCTGTCTGCATCAGTTTGGGTGTTTAAATTTTATTATCTTTTCCTTATTTGTTTTAAAACATAGTAGATACATTTCCAGTAATTCAAGCCCCAAATAGATTTTATACAAAAGCCAAGACATAGTATTTTGTATCATAACTGAGTTCACATTACAGTTCTCTTGAAATCATTGTGAATGTTATTCAGAAAAAATACTTGAAAGCAAATGCATTGAAGCACTAAATAACTTCTTCACTATATTCTGCCAGCCAGTTATGTGGTTTCTATCAGTAAAGTGCATTTTATTAAATAAGTTACTTTGTATTTTCTGGATTATTTTTCCTAAAAATATATGGAAAAGTTTAAGGAGTCTCAAACGTTGCAATATCCAGAAAAATACCTGTAATATAAAGTTTGCTTTCTTTTAATGTGACAAATAGGTCTGAAAATACATATTTGGAAATGCAGTTTTAAAATCTGAAAATGAAAATTTATATCAGGAGCCTTCCAGAAGTGATTGGAGAAATCACATAAGCATAACATTGACTGTGATAATGTAATACCACTGACCTAAGAAATCAGTGAACCTAATGAGGAAGACTTCATTGTTACTCTAAACTTGTGGGCTACATGCAAAACATGTATTTAAAGGGCTACATAGAATGTCTTCCAATGCAAATTTTGAGGGAATTTTTGAGGGAAGATATATTTAAATGGCCTTACCTCTTTATTTGTATGTCTTTATTAATTATATACAATGAATTAAAATATAGTGGCTCGTTGTATTTCCTACTAAGTAATCACTTTAAGTGAAATAAAAACTGCTTAGAACAACTCTACTTTTTTAATCCGTAAAATGCTTCTTAACTTGAAAGGTAATGTGGAAAATACTTGATTGCATGCATCTAGGGGTTTTTGCTTTTGGAAAGCAAAGCAGACACCTGCATAAATTCTTAGTGTCTTGATTCTGTCTTCCAGGGGTTGGGATCTCTTCCTTATCGTGGGCTCTCTTGTTTGCTTTTCAGTTGCTGCGAATGTGGCTGTGGAAGGGCTTCTTCCCTGTGCGCTGTTGCCCATCCAAGCCTAATATGGTTAGTGGTGCCTCCCGCTTTCACTCCTCTGTGCTGTCCACCTCTGTGTATCGCCGCCAGCGTTCCTTTGCTTTCTCCATTTGTGTACATTCTTAACAGTTAGTACACGCGTACACCCTAACAGTGAGAAGAAGATGGTGAAACTGGTCCCCAGATGTGAAGCCTGACAAGTGACGTCACAGTGGATTATTCCAAATAAAATACTGTACATAGCAGCACATCATCCTGATGTCAAGCTTTCATACCTCTCTTCTGAGGCTGTTAGCATGGTTCTGACGGAAAGCCAGGACACTGTAAGATTTAACATGTGTTCCGCATTTAACATGTCGCTGTTTTTGTTGTTCCATTAGTAAAAACCATATCACTCATGGAAATAAAGTGCTACTTCTGTCAAGGTGAAATCCCCTTCTCCATCTTCAAGAACCATGCGATGACCATAACGTGACTGCAATCAGCTATTGTCATAATTATCGTGGCTATATATGGCATGGGGGAAGGAAACTATGTGCAATTTAAAATGTTTTACCTTATTTTATTAAGTCTGAACTATTGTTGATGGTAGGAGGGATATTCCTAATTTGATACCAGTAAAAAGCACATTTTTGGAATCACTGGTTAAATGAGGTAGTCACAATTATTTATGAAGACAAACCCTAAATATGCATCCGGATTATATAATAGTATAGCCTGGAATGTAAAAGTCAGAAGAGAACTCTATTCACAGATTTAGAGGAACTCCTACACAATGGTGAACCTCCCTGTAAAAATTAAATACTTCAGATAATTGCTTTGTAGATTAAGGGTTCTAACTCCTTGCACTATTGGAATGAGTTGTCATTCATTGTCAAACTTTACAAAGAAAAGATAATATACAAGATGCATCTTAGAGAATTATTACATTTTCTAGATGCATTATAAGTTGTGACTTGTATTGTCTAGGCATAAGTTTTGTTGATTAAATAAAGTGTGTGAATGTGTGCAGGTGTGAAAAAAAAGTGTGTGTGAATGCGTCACTCAAGTGCACATGAGAGAAATGGTGGAATGTATACCAGTGACCTCTTGAGAACAAGGGAGAGTAAACAAGCACAGACTGATATAATTCAGAGATCTTTCTCTCAAGCTTTTGCAAATTTCATATTTGTAAAAACTTAAAGCTAATATAAAAGTATAAATTTATCTCAAAATAGTTAACTCGTCTGGGAAATTCTTAGAAGCATGGAGCTTCAGTGACAGAGCAAATAAAAACTGAAATGTGTCTGTGGCTAAAATGTTAAATGGCTTTGTATTGTGGTCTTTTCTATACTGTACTATGAAAAACTAAAAAAGAAATGGTCGCTGAATTGCCTATTCTGCTTCAGTTTCAAATACAGTTGTTTAAAGAGGTAAATTCTTATTGAAGCAATATAGGCAAAATTTATCATCTTAGGAAAAAAGAAAGATTGACATCTATGTCTACCCAGAACTAAACTCAAAAGTATCTCGATGGCTGTGTGAATGTGTATGAGTCCTTGGCTTAGGAAATTGAAGACTAAGTTTAGCTAGATTGATATGCTTTTACTTTTAAAAGTAATACCTTTTTTCCACTGCATAGTTGGCTTCACAACTAACAACTACTATTTGGAGGTTTATATAGTAAAAGGTGAAATTGTTCCTTCACAGAGAGTTCATCAGGAAACTGAAGATAAAAACCTTCTTTCTAATATCTTTCTTTGAATAATTCTAGGACTTATGGAGGCATATATGTGGGTGCATGTAACTGTGTGGGTGTACATGCATGTGTGTGTGCAAAATAAAATTTAGTCACAGATGCATTTAGAAACTCAATAAAAGACTAATAATCTTCATGGAAAGATGAATGGACCAGCTAGAAATTTTTCTTAATGCAATCTTAATTTAAAAAAAACTGAATAAAGCAAAAGAAGCAAACTTTAATTTTGCATATGTAAATTAGACAATGAAAATATTGTTTAAGATTATTACTTTGGAAGAATGAAAGTTGCAAATGTTTTGATCACTGTTTGCTGAACTTCTGTTTTACAATTTCAAGTCACAACATTGTTTCAGTATAGTTGGCTTTAGTTTAGAATATACCATTAGAGATAAAAAAAAAAACTTTACCTAATGGAAATCAAATTATTGAGAAGAACCATTTTTCTACTATAGTCAGTAAAATCCTAAGAAATATGAAATCTTGTTCCTAATTTTGCATGTGTAACTATACTAGCATTTGTCAATTACTATATAAATAATTTTCAGGGAACACTGTCATCAGCATTAATAAACAGACAGTTTGATTTTGATTGTAAGAATCTCATTGTTTTCATTTATTGGAATATCACTCATGAATATATGTTTGATTCATTTTGACCTTAACGGTGACTCATATACATTAAAAACCTTTGGTACATATGTTGGCTTTTAGAAATACCTCGAGATACCGTATGGAAATCTAGGTTCCAACGAACATTATTTGAAATCCATTGATCGAGACCCTTGATTCTACAACTGGCTAAATGAAAACTTCTGTCTGGCTCAGTGGTTTTGATATTTAGTCTGTCATGTTTCCCACCAGTAAGCAGCATTTTTATTATTTTTAAAATATATAATTCTCCATTTATGAGATGAAAATTGTGATCCCATGTTGCCAACATTGATCCTTCTACCTCAAGTTATTTTTCGTCCCTATAGTTTCTTGCTTTGTTGTGGCCTCCATAAACATGGTGTTAATTTTCCAAATAGTCTCCCTGCTTTGACTGAAACCTATGCAGTGATGGACACTGTTCTGTATTATTTCTGAATAAAATTCAGCACCCTGTCTCTAAGATTGCCCCTGTTTTTTACAGAGGTGTCTTTTATCAGTCGTCACTGCCTTTATGCCATTGCAACTGGCTTGAGAACCTAATCATTGTTTCACTACTGAAAGAAAATATATGTTTTTGCTAATGAACAGTGTTTAGTTGATTTTTAAATGGAAATACGATGTATAATTTCTAAAATATTGTCCCCAGTTATCCCTGAGTATTTACTTAAATTTATGTTTACAGAAACCAATACATACACTTATATGTATAATACAATTATAAGTCCATATGAAGTATCCCAGAGTCCTGACATCTATTTCTTATATCAAACATATGTCAGATTGTTTCCCTCATTCACCTGTTTTCATGCTTTCCAGTGTTTTCATTTCATTTATTCCTTTTCCAGAGGCGTTCAAATGACAGGGGGAAGGGAGTTCACTATTTTGAATGTTGAAATATTTAGTTTGTTCACTTCTGTGATCTTTAGAAAATCAAGTTCATTTTTAAATACATTTTCTTACTATATATTTATGACTAGAGACATAAGCAGAACTGTAACTCTTGTTATAATAGATATTTTAAAATTTTCTTCAGAGATGTAAAGCAAAAAAACAATTTCTGTGGCAAAAAGGAGTATTAGTGATGTTAAAGTTAATTAGTATCTTAATTTTATTTAACTGTCTTATTTATAGCATCTTGAAATTTTAAGTGAGTTGCTTTTTATTTCCACACATACTTTGCAGACATTATTCATTCAACATTATAAGATGTTCACCAGGATTTATGTGGAACATTCTTACCTTTTGTACAGCAGGAAGGGAGCTAAAGGATAGAAATTAGACACTTGTAACAATTTTAGATCCCCATTTTAAAGCAGATGTGAGGATTGATTGAAATGCAGAGTATATTAAATTCTGATGGAAGGTATGCTGTGTAAAATATAACCGTGAACTATTCCAAAGTCCTATTGTTAAATAATATTGGGAAACTCAGATGATAGGAGATATTAAGTGAGCCTGCTCTGACTGAAAAATCCAGTGGAGGCACCCATATAGTAGGTAATAATTAATAGGAATTTACACATTCCAGCACTAGAACAAAACTGGTTGAAAACAAGGAGAGCTTATAGGCCAGCACCGCGGCTCACTAGGCTAATCCTCCACCTTGCGGCGCCGGCACTCTGGGTTCTAGTCCCGGTCGGGGCGCCGGATTCTGTCCCGGTTGCCCCTCTTCCAGGCCAGCTCTCTGCTGTGGCCAGGGAGTGCAGTGGAGGATGGCCCAAGTGCTTGGGCCCTGCACCCCATGGGAGACCAGGATAAGTACCTGGCTCCTGCCATCGGATCAGCGCGGTGCGCCGGTCGCAGTGCGCCAACCACAGCGGCCATTGGAGGGTGAACCAACAGCAAAGGAAGACCTTTCTCTCTGTCTCTCTCTCTCACTGTCCACTCTGCCTGTCAAAAAAAAAAAAATTAAAAAAAAAAAAAAACAAGGAGAGCTTATAATCATATGACATAATTTAGGGAACATATTGTTAAATCAGAAGTCTAAGTCAAAATTTAATTCAACACTGAAAATAGATTAAAATCAATCTGTGAATTTGTGGAAGTGTTTGAAATTGTTCAGGTACTCCTGTTAATGCTAAGGAACATTTTGCCTAAAAAGACTTGTAATAGTTTATTAATGGAAGATGTACAAATTCATGTGTGCTACACTGTTATTGAAGATGTTATCTAAACATTTCATTCATTCTTTGCAAAAACATCTTTAGTTTATGAGGCTCAATCAGCTGAACTTTTATTAAAACTAATTTTGTTTAATTGGAGAGAATCCTGATTTGAAAAAGTCAATGTATTTTCCAAAAAGCTGTAACGTTATTTAAATACTCCAGGAGCAAAATTTTTGAATAATACTATATGCAATGGTTGTGGTCATTGTTATGTCAACTCACGTTGAATAGATCATGTGATTTTAAAAAAATACTAAATTAAGAGTATTTCGTTTTCAGTAAGTAAAACACAGAAATTGTGTGTACTGTAATTCTTTTGAATACTTTTCTACAGTTTTCTGAGTATAGGAAAAGCATTTCTTAATCAATTTCAACTAGAAGAACAAGCAGTGCCTTTTTCTGAGGTAGTCTGCATGTGCTCAATGAAATAGAATTGCAAAAACACTCCTCTTTCACCATTTTGTCCCACTCCTCCTTTTTAAAATTAAGGTGAAAAAACTTTCAGTGTTTAGTTCTGTAGGTAAAGCAAGGGAAAAAATCTGACTTTGCAGAGGCTTTTGTTGAGCAAGGATTTGCATTCTCTTTGGCTGTCTATTCGTTCATCTTTCTACATTGGCCACTAGAGAGCCATTTAGTCAATTACTCTTTGGGCATTGGTTCTCTGGAGTGCTTGACATTCATATCTTTAACTCATTATCAAGCCCTAGATTTATGCCCAAGAACTAAATTATTCACTGGCATCTCCATGCATGCATAAAGATCATCATTTTCTAGTTCATATAATTTGGAAGTTTCAAATTTAGATGTTATGGCTGGGACCAAATTCTTAAGGTTGGTATTATTATTATTATCAAAGTGGTGTTATCCAACTCCTTAGAATAGGTATGCTAGAAAATGAATTGATTTCTAAATCACTCATAAGGTAATTGTGATATTTATATATCAAGCATTTCTGGGACTTTTATTGAATATTAATTAAAGGATGTTAGTTATGCCTTCATGTAATATAATTTCTCATACCCATCTTCATTTCTAAAAGCTTAAACCACATTGTTTTCTGGAAGAATATGAGTATAAATGATTAAAAGATTATTTTCCTAAATACAAACACTACAGATATATTAGTGCAATAATTTAAAAGCTCATTAAAATTGTGATAAGAAGTAAAATGAAGATGCTTTCTTTTTCATTCAGAAAAAAAAAACATATTTCCACAAAGTAGGAGGCATAATTTATGTACAGGATGACATAATTTATGTACAGGATGCCATATTCTTGACGAGCTCATTGCTGAAAATTATACATGTGGAGTAGGCACAGTAGATGATTCTGATTGAACAGGCTTCCTGCAATGCTCTGTTAGTGAGCTTGAACGGCTGTGGAGTGCCAGTCCTGCCAGCTGCAAGTTTACTTGCTGTATCTTGTTGAGACTTGTTTTAATGATGCTTTGGGGGGAATTCCAGAACTTATTTTATATGTTAATGCAACATACAGCCGTATATGTTTTAGAACTCCAGAGTTGCCCATAGTCAAAAATAACTGTTTTCCATTGCCTTCCCAACTAATAACCGCAATAAAATGTTAACTGTTCCTCACCAGTATATTCCCAAATCATTTTTAGATATAATACAAAGTTTTATTTCCATGATCATAAGAGGAATTTGCATGCAAATTAAGTATCCATGAAGCTTATTTAGATAAAGGCTATTTTGAAAGCCGATTGTTTTTGTTTTTGAAGTTGGAAGAGTTGAAGGTGGAGTAGATGTTAATTTCCTGTTGTAAATTGTAAGAAAGTGTATACATTTAGGTCTCTTTAGATTCCAATTACAAAACTTTTTGGTAGTATTATTTAAATAACATAAATCTCAAGATAATTTCACATAGTTGTGTTTGGAACACTGTTAAAAAGAACTATCAATAATGCTTTCCTCCAGGGACACATACATTAGAGATGGGAAGGATAATGTAACACCTAGCAAAATTATGAACAAATACAATAAAATACCTCAAATCTTTACTGAACAGACCAAATACGATTTCCGTATGGTTTCATGTGTTTGATTTTTCTCCCCATTTCACTGCAGTGAGGTGATTCAAGATGTCTCAAGGGCTCTTAAATGACAAATGAATCCAAGTGTTAAGGATAAAATTTGAAAAACCACCCAGTTCCTGTTGTGTATTTTCCCTAGCCCAAGAACTCTCTATCTATTAAGTATATTACTTCAAATTTACTCAAATGTGCACTAGCTAAACTTCTCCAATTAATTGCCAGTTCCTTGATGTTAAAAGGAAATTGTATTTTTAAAAAAATAGTGATATATTAATTGTATTGTCCAGTTTTTCTAATACATATTTAATTGCATACCATGAAATGACAAAATAGTTTTTAATGTTTATCAAAATATACAAGATATTTAAAATATGCTAGAGTTGTAACCTAGGAGCAGTCTCTGTTAGTGAGTATATATTAGATACCTTATTTACACAACAATTGATTTTCAACCAAATTTATGATGAAAATACTTTGTCTACCATCTTGGCTCTGTTTTCTCAATGCAAAAATAAATGAAGATTTTGTTTTAAATTAACTCAGTTTTGTGGTGGGGCCTTACGAACAGTACAGTCACTTCCTTGGAGTTTCACTAAAGCTAATTTAAATATTTTCATTTCAGCTAGTTGTTTCATGTTCTGTGGTTAATCATGTCCCACATCAATTCAGTATTCATCCTCATGGTTCTTTTCCAAATACCTGTCATTGTGTAGACACAATAAAATGTCTTTCACTCATTCATTTACTCATTCATCAGTGTGACAGATATTTTTGGTGCCAACTCTGAGTCAGGTGCTAGATCACTGGAGGAATTTATAGATGACTGCTAGTTGTCATCATTCAAGAAGTTGACAGGCAGTAAGGGAGCTGAGCAGTGTACCAAAATGAATATGCTGTACCGTGGAGTTGGGAGTCTAACAAAAAGAGTTTAGATAAAGCTATTATTTTCAGAAAAGATAAGATTACATTAAGTTGGAGTATCAAGGACAAAATTGAACTGGACTTTGATGACTAAAAATTGCTAGGAAGAACATATTCAGTGAAGGAGCCTATAGAATTATGTGCAAAGGTATAGAAGCATGGAGAGAGAGCTTGATTATTTTAGGGAAAGGTTTAGTATTCCTGAAGACAAACATTTGGACATGATGCTGCAAATATGTTTTAAGGCTACATTTAGGAATATTTGCCTTGCTATTTTATTGAAGATTTTGCAGTAGAGAGCTAATGCAATCAAACACGTCTTATAGACAGTTAATTTGGCTACAAACGTATCTATCATAGTTTAGAGAAGGAGTTACAGAATGAAGAAGCATCATTTCAGAGGCACTTAGGGTAATCCAGATGAAAAATGGCAAGGCCTTAATTGAGGTAGAGCTAATGAAAAGGCAACGATGGATTGTAAGATATTTACATTGTTTAATGCCTGGGATTTGGCAACTACTTTGTTGTGAAGGACACAGAGTAAAGCTTTGAACTTAAGTGACCAAGGCCATGACAGTGTTATGAACAAGAAAAGAAAAAGACCTCTGCACTGGGAGAAGTAAAGAGAAATTCACTGCTGTCTGTCTTCAGAGCCGTTGAGTGTGAATGCCAGGGGGATATCCCTATACAATAAATACATCTATCCCCATAGAATAAATATATCAGGAATAAGAGTATAATCCTAAACAACTAAATCAGAGATAGGGAGTATTAATTACATTGGTAGAAACAGATTATTTGAGAAGAAAACTAGATAAGGTCATTCAGAGGTCCTTAAGAGATGTCCTGCATAAATGTAGGGAGCAGCAAGAAGCATTAGAAAAGTCCTTAGTGATGGGGGTTCCTCAACACCATCAACAAGGGAGACACATCCTTGGATGTAGAGGTTAAGAGCTCATCTGTGAGTCTTAGAAGGACAGAGTTTGTCAGCGTTAAGAACAGTTTGCAAGACCTGCAAATCAGTGGGTTGATGAGAAAAACAGACTTAAGTTTTAAGGAGTGGAACTAGGAGGTATAGCAGGTTGTGGTCAATTTCATAGTGACCTGGCTGCATGTGAGTGGAATATAGCCAGAGAAACCACTGAAGACGACAAAACTGTGGAGAGGAAGAGAGATAAAGAGGAGAGGCAGAGATAGAGATAGAAATGGAGAGAGAGACATAGATAGAGAAAGAGAGAGAAGAAGACAAACAAAACCTGTAGAGGAGGGTGTATAGTTGGGAGGCTATTGGATCAGAGGCACTGTCTCAGCAGAGGCCACTGAACTGACAAAACAGGCAGAAGTCCCTGAGCTGACAAAACAAGTTAAAGAGGGAGCAAGAAGAGCAATGTTCCGCATGTGGGTATGTGGTGAAGAGAAGTTTAAAAATGGGTTTGTAGAACATCAGACTTCCCTGTAAAATCTAGGTGAGTCAGAGTGAGGAATACTGGTGGGAGAAGTCCTTTCATGCAAAAGGATTCCCTTCATTCCTTGCATCCAAAAGGAATATGGGTATTATGTCCTGTTGTTAGGATGATGATCAGTGTAGGATTACGGTAATTTCAGTAGCATTCCGTGCTTCTGGGTAGATGTGGCTGATTCACCCCTTTGCGATGAAGCTAATTGTAGCTTACTTTATTCCAGGCGGTGTGGCTACAGCAAAGCAAAGCAAGATCCGGAAGAGGAAAAGATGCATTTTCATAATGGGCACAGTAAGCACGTTGTACAATAAAAGCAAAACAAAGTAGGAGAGACTTGTTGATTGCTTTGTTCTCTTTTCAGGGTGGGGAATTTCTAAGCTAATTCTAATTCCTAACAGCACTATAGGTAGAAATCTATCAATGAATAACACCATTAGGTTATATGAGTAAAATTACTCAGTTTTTTTCCTCCCTCTAACACTACAGTTGTAATCCGATATCAGCAACCTTGGGTCAAGTGCCTTGAAAAAGATGATACTTCTAAGAAATGTAGAAAATCTAATTTTAATAAGAACTTTAAAAATTAAGCATGATATTTTAATTTTTCCATAAATAATGATGGCTCAGTTAATTTGTCAAGTCAATGATGAAGAATTTCTTCTGTTTTTGTTACTGGCATGAACATAAAGTAAAATCTCTATAGGCATACCTCATGTTTCAATGTTCAAGTCCATTTCATAGGCTTATTTAATATTTTTCCTCAAAAACACTAACACTGTGCATGTGGCAGTGGTAGTTTCTGAAATTGAAAAAATTGACTCATGAAACAGAAGAACCGGTTTAGCATTATGCAACATGTAGAATTCTTCTTTTCTTTTGATATGTGTGTTTAGCCTTTGTTTTACCGTAGCACCAGAAAAATTATTACAAATTATTCCTTATAAAGTCAAAATTAGTAATCTGTGATGATATCTCTAAGTGAAAAATAAAACAGAAAATAAATTCCAGGCATTTCATTTTCCAGTTTAATAAACAGAATTGTCTCATTTTGCCTCAGAAGCTGATGTTCTGAATATTATTTTTGAAAGATGTATTTACTCAAATACATCACCACACATGTATTTTGTATACATGCAATAATCCAGATTTTTTTTTTAAATGACAAGAACAATATGCAAAAGCTGTACAAATGACTCTCAGAACTCTGGAGATGATCTATCCTTGAAGCTTAGCTTCTTCTTTCTAGAAATTAGAGATATAAACCATAGAGTATGTTAAAGTTTATAATGTACTCACCCATGATGGCCACTTGTATTGTAATGCCCATTTATTTTTACAGTTAAACTGCCTGGAGTAAGAACTTACATTGATCCACATACCTATGAGGATCCCAACCAAGCTGTACATGAATTTGCCAAGGAGATAGAAGCTTCATGTATTACCATCGAAAGAGTTATTGGAGCAGGTAAGGCAATGTTTCCTTCTGACTTCTGAGTTTTGTTTGTACTACAGAATATAATAGGTTAATGTCCTAATCAAACATGGAATGTCTTTAATCTTTCATAATTGTCTTCCTTTCAAAGTTGTATGTAATTGACCTTTTCTTACTGCAGCCTTCTATCTCATGCATGCTTAAACTAGCAAATATATGGTTGACAAAATAAAATACATATGTGTTTTTCAGCTAAATAAGTTTTTACCTTCTACTGTTAATGTGTATATATATATATATGTATGTAGGAAATTTATAATATCCAAAATTATTTACACCATTCATTTCTGCCTTAAATTGTTTCCTTTTTGTAGAGTTGTAAACTTTTATTATTTTGTCTCTTTATTAATAGTACTACTAGATGAGAAATAAAAGCAAGAAGTGATTTGCAGTCAGTGTCTTTAAATTTCTTTATAAATTTTTATTAAATTTGTAGATGAAGTGGGTGAAGCTGATGACACCAGTGTGTTACCATCATCTGCAGATGATTTTTCCCAACATACTACTTATTTCTGTTCACATTAATAATAATAAAGCCTAGATTCCTGTCTCTGTTTTTTTTTTTTTATTTTGGTCTGAGTCTTAATACGCTCAGAACATTGTAGTAAGAATTTCAAATGAGAATATGTGTTTTTCCCCTCTTTATCACAGGTGAATTTGGTGAAGTGTGTAGTGGACGTCTGAAGCTGCCAGGTAAAAGAGAATTACCTGTGGCTATCAAAACCCTGAAGGTGGGCTACACTGAGAAGCAGCGCAGAGATTTCCTTGGTGAAGCAAGTATCATGGGGCAGTTCGATCATCCTAACATCATCCACTTGGAAGGTGTTGTGACCAAAAGTAAGTGCAATGGCAAAGTGTGCATGTGTGTATGCATCTCATAAATATCTACATAGACTGCTATTAATGTTAGATTCATGAGACATTAACCATAGTAATGCATTGACTTCTCCATTTTCAATGATACTTTTCCTACATTGTTTATATATTTGTCAAAGATTATTTAAATGAGCTGAATTTTTATTTTTTCCCAGTAATATGTATGAACCCATTAACTAGGAATGACATAACAGGGAAAAATATATACAGATAAAAGAAGTAGTAAAGACAGCCACAGGTTTTCATACTGACTTTTTCACTTTTTATCCTAATGAAATGTTAACTTCAAAGTTTTGATTGTGGGATTGAAGTTAAACATTTAATAGGACAGCTAGATGCCCTGCCATGTTTCAAGCAGTTCTTCATAGCCAGATGCATTGGTGTGTTTAATTTTTCTACATGGTTTCTTTTTAATTAATTAAATTTATTTATTAAGGAATACAAATTTCACAAATACAAATTTAGGAATATAGTTATTCTTCCTAACGTACCCACCCTCCAACCCACACTCCCACCCCTCCTTCTCTTCCCTCTCCCATTCCCAGTCCCATTCTCTGTTAAGATTCATTTTCTTTTTTTTTTTAAGATTTATTTATTTGAAAGGCAGAGTTACAGAGAGGCAGAGGCAGAGAGAAAGAGAGAGAGATCTTGTATCTGCTGACTCACTCCCCAGATGGCCACAATGGGCAGAGCTGCAGTGATCCAAAGCCAGGAGCCAGGAGCTTTTTCTAGGTCTCCCACACAGGTGCAGAGGCCCAAGGACTTGTGTCATCTTTTACTGTTTTCCCAAGTCATAGCAGAGAGCCAGATTAGAAGCGGAGCAGCTGGGACTCAAACCAGCATCCATATGGGATGCCGGCACTGCAGGTGGAGGCTTTATCTGCTATGCCACAACACCAGCCCCAAGATTCATTTTCAATTAACTTTGTACACAGAAGACCAACTCTTTACGAAGTAAATATTTCAACAATTTATACATATATACACACACTGAAAATTAATTTTACAGTTAACTCTCATAATACAATCCATTGAGGACAGAGGTTTTACATGGGGCGTTAGTGCACAGTGACTCCTGTTGTTAATTTAACAATTAATACTCTTATGTATACATCAGTGACCACTCGAAGCTCTTGATATGAGGTGCCTAGGCTATGGAAGCCTTTTGAGTCCACAATCTCCTTCAGTATTTAGACAAGGCCATAAGCAAGGTGGAAGTTCTCTCCTCCCATTAGAGAAAAGTGCATCCTTTTTTGCTGGCCGCTTCTTTCCGCTGGGGTCTCACTCACAAAGATCCTTCATGTAGAACATTTTTCCATAGTGTCTTGGCTTTCCATGCTTGTCTATATGGTATCTTAATAGTTCTTAGGAAGGAAACAGCCTCAGAAGACTGGAGAAGGCCCTGTGACCAACTTTTGCTAAAGCAGATCTGGTTCCTACTCAGAAATATCTCGATTTTTACATCTCTTTTAAATTTCTTGTAGTGTCTTACAAATGTCTGACAAACCATCCCAAAACAGGATTAAAATCATTTTCAGTCACCAAATATCTTATGTGGCATGAACGGAGACCATTTTTTATGTTTAGTTCATTCTTTCTTTAGCACTCCTGTGTATTATATGCTCTGCCTTCATCCCTCCTACCTGACATGCCAATTACTAAAATTATCTGAGAACTTTGACAAAGATAACTCTGTCGACTTGCTTTCAATTGCTTTATCAACTTCCAGTTTCTATCCACAAAGGTTGAGATTAATATGCCTCAAGCATGGCTACCAGCAATATATTCAGTTAGTACACAACTTAGAAAGCAATTTCAATTGATTCAACATCCATTTATGCCATTTATATTTTAAATATGGCAAACAAAACAAATCAACAGCAACAGCAACAAAAACAAAGCCTTTTCAGAAAAAAAAAGAGGCCCAAAGAAGCAAATAAAATAGTCTATCACTTAAGTTCATACTCAATTCATGATTCATTCTCAAGTTGGGGACAGAAAACAGAAAGCCCTCACATGTCCTAGAAAAAGTGCGTAGTACAATTTATCATGTGAATGATTGAATGTGCTTTGGAATTAGCCTGTGTTCCTGGAAGAGTTTTTCTCCACACATGTTAAAGAGATCCACATATCCAGTATGGATACTCTACGAGAAATACAACAATGAAAGAGAGTTACCTGCAGACTTGTAGGTTATCTCACATTTTAGATGTATTTCTCCCAACTTTTTAGTGAACACCGTACATTATTTTTCTCTTACTTGTAACCCAAGGCAGGCATTGCTGGTGCAAAAAGGACACTCTGAGGTCTTATCAGAAAGAATTAGTTGCTATAGAAAAGTGGGAGACAGCAACAAGAGAGAATCAGACAGCAGATAGGAAACAAATATATTTTTTGAAAAAAAAGAAAGAAAAATGCTTTATAATAATTATATACTAGGATGAATTTGTGGTGATATTATTAATAAGAATAGTAAAGAATATCATGTAAGCTACACTAAAATAAATTAATAATATTGATGTCACTACACTGGTCTTCCATCTGTGGGCTAGATACTGTCTGGTGCTAGATACTGTAGAATAAGAATCATAATAGAGGAGGCGGAGCCAAGATGGCGGAATAGTGAGGGCGCGCACCGATAGTCCGGGAAAATTTAGTTTAATAAAAGGGGAGTTACGGTAGCCGCAGAAAATAGAACCAAACAAAAAATTGCAGGGGAAACCCTTCTGAATGGAGCAGGCGTGAATCGGAGGACCTACTGGGAGAACAAGGTCGCCCACCGCGCGGAAGCCAAGTCGCGGGACCCAGCCGCAGAAGCCCCAGGGTCTGCGCAACAGTGCTCCAAGGAGAGTGCATGCCACACAGAAAACAGCGGGGAGACTTGGGACGCTCAGGGCTCCGAGTCCACACATCGGCGCTGGAAGGGGAGGTGAGCTCAATAACCCGAGACATTGGTGGGGAAACGGGGGTCAGAATCTAGAGGGGGACCGGAAAGTGCAGCAAACTCACTACCGGAAAGAAGGAAAAAAAAAAAAAGCTTCGGGGTTTCTCTTCCCCCTAACCTTGCAAAGGTTACAAGGCCGGCTTGAAGAATTCCCAAGAGACAAAGAGCAGGCCTGCTCTTTGGATTTACATATCAATGGGGGAGAGTTAAGGAACTGAGTCACTACAATTCAGTAGCACTAGGCAACCCAGTGGGAGTCCAGAGGAGCCAAAGACTGGAAGCTAAATACCATCAATTCTGCACAGCCCTGCCCTGCAGTGTTACTTACCCCCTGAATAAATAAAATAAATAAATAAATAAAAAGAGAGAGATTTACCACGCATAACCTGAGGGTGTCACCTTTGCACACCCTTAACCAGGAAGAACCAGGCAGAGCTCTCAGTCTCAAGCCTCCAAGGCTCCTCCAACAGCAGGCAGTCCACTTAACACGGACACAGTATAAAAAAAAAAAAAAAAAAGAAAAAAAAAAAAGCGCACAGTGACGCAAGAAGAATTAACTATGCCGAGTAACAAACACAGAAATAGAGGGAGCAAGATCAACGATGACACTATGATGCCTCCAAATAAGCAAAACACCCCAAGCCAAGAGTATGAAGATGATGAGATAGAAGAAATGCAAGATACGGATTTCAAAAAATTTATGATAAGAACATTTAGAAGTTTTCAAAAGCAAATCCTTGAACTACAGAAATCCTTAATGGACAAGATTGAAAATCTTTCTCGTGAAAATGAAATTTTAAGGAAGAGTCAAAATGAAACTCAGAAACTAGTAGAACAGGAAAGTGTAATAGTCAAGAGAAATCAAAATGAAATGAAGAGCTCAATAGATCAAATGACAAACACATTAGAAAGCCTTAAAAACAGAATGGGTGAAGCAGAAGAGAGAATATCGGACTTAGAAGATAGAGCACAGGAAAACATACAGTCAAACCAAAGAAAAGAAGAGGAAATTAGAAACCTAAAAAATATTGTTGGGAATCTACAGGATACTATTAAAAAAACCAACATTCGAGTTCTAGGAGCTCCTGAAGGCATGGAGAGAGAGAAAGGATTGGAAGGCCTTTTTAGTGAGATACTAGCAGAGAACTTTCCAGGTTTGGAGAAGGACAGAGATATCCTCGTACAGGAAGCTCATAGAACCCCCAATAAACATGACCAAAAGAGATCCTCACCACGACACGTGGTAATTAAACTTACCACAGTGAAACATAAAGAAAAGATCCTAAAATGTGCAAGAGAGAAACGTCAGATTACTCTCAGAGGATCTCCAATCAGACTCACAGCTGACTTCTCATCAGAAACCCTACAAGCTAGGAGGGAATGGCGAGACATAGCACAGGTGCTAAGAGAGAAAAATTGCCAGCCCAGAATATTATATCCTGCCAAGCTCTCATTTGTGAATGAAGGTGAAATAAAGACCTTTCATAGCAAACAGAAATTGAAAGACTTTGTGGCCACTCGTCCGGCCCTGCAAAAGATACTTAAAGATGTGCTACACTCAGAAACACAGAAACACGGCCATCAATATGAAAGAAGGGAAAGGAAGAACACCTACCAGTAAAAGAGCATGGGAAGCTCAAAGCATATACTAGAAAATATTTCCGGGAAAATGGCAGGGCAAAGTCACTACGCATCAATTGTCACATTGAACATTAATGGTCTGAATTCTTCAGTTAAAAGACACCGTTTGACTGACTGGCTCACAGAACACAACCCAACTATTTGTTGCCTACAAGAAACACATCTCTCTAACAAAGAGGCATGCAGACTGAAAGTGAAAGGTTGGAAAAAGATATTCCATGCCAACAGAAACCAAAAAAAAGCAGGTGTAGCCATATTAATATCAGACAAAATAAACTTTAATACAAAAACTGTTAAGAGAGACAAAGAGGGACACTATATAATGATTAAGGGTTCAATTCAACAGGAAGATGTAACTATTATAAATGTATATGCA